ATTTTTTTTTTTTTTTTTTTTTTTTGGAGAGGTTTTTGCCATAGGGCGCATATGCTTGCCAGAAAGACAGAGAGACAGACAGTGAGAAATCACCTCTGGGGGGGATGGCCACTCCACAATCCCTTCGCCTCCATTCTCCTCTCTGGATCTTGGGCATGCACACACATGTGCCCAGAGTGAGTTTAAGCCACCGGGTCTGGGACTCAAACCACAGTTCGACTACATGGGAGTCCATTGACATAGCCATTACGCCAACTGCTGGTCCCAAGGAGAGAGTTTTGTTTTGTTTTTTAATTTTTGTGGGACCGGCAGGTGGCGTGGTGATTAAGAGTACTGAACTCCCACATGGCCAACCGTGGTTCAAGTCCAGGACCTGGTGGCTTGCTTTCTCACTTTCCCTCTCTCTTTCTCACTTTGTCCTTCTCTGGTAAAAATAAAAATATAAATAAATGAATGAATGAATTTATCAATAAAATGACATAAAATAATTAAAAACCATTTTTGCAGGGGTATGTGTGTTTACCAGAGAGAGATTAAAAAGCCAGAGCAAGAGAGGAAGCCACCTCTCCACGTGGCATGGTCATACTGCAATCCTTTCTCCTCCATTTCCATTTCTCCATTTTATTGGGATTTGGGGCATCCATGCACATATATCTAGCTTGTTCTTCAAGCCATCACGGCCAGGATTCAAACTGTAGTCAGCCATATGGGATCTGGCTACCTTAACCACGGGGCTACAGAACCAGTCCAAAAGCTTATTTATTTATTTATTTATTTGGTTTTTGTCATAGGGAGCATGTACTCACCAGAGAGAGACAGAGAAAGGGAAAGTGAGAAATCATTCTGTAGTGGCAATGGCCATGCTGCAATCACTTTTCCTCCATTCTCCACCTGGGATTTTGGGCATGCATGCATATCTGCCCAGTATAATTTTCAAACCACCAGGTCCAGGACTCAAACCACAGCCATGTGGGAATCCAATGCCTTAACCACCATGCTTACCTGTTGGCTCAAGCATACTTATTTTATTAATGAGAAAGAGCTGTAGTATGCCTGCAAGAAACAGGAAAGATTGAGAGAGAAGCGTGCTTTATAGGATCTTGCCACGCTGTGATCCCCTATCATCAGCCCTCTAGTTCATCGGGATCTTGGGTACACTTGCATCCAGTGTGTTTTAGACTCAGAAACCAAGCCCAAGGTCGGCCACGTGACTTCCAGCCCTGCAGTGCAGTAGGCTACCACCAGCATCGCCAAGGCTGAGTCTATTGTTTTTATTGTTGATGAGATGATGAGATGACACTATATATATACATATATATGTATATATATATACACACACATACACACACATATATATATTCAAATAATTATTTTATTTAACTTTATTTATTTAAATGTAATCAGAAAGACACAGAGTTGGGGGGTTAGTGAGAAAGCAAGCTGCCAGGTCTAGGACTTGAACCACAGCCAACCATGTGGGAATCCGGCGCCCTTAACCACCACACCACCTGCTGGCCCCTAGATTTTTTTTTTTTTTTTGAGAGAGATTTTTACTAGAGAGCATGTGTGCTTGCTGAAGAGACAGAGAGACAGAAAATGAGAAATCACCCCCCAGGGGGATGATCACACTGCAATCTCTTCTCCTCTAGTCTCCTCTTGGGATTTTGGGCATGCACACACACACACGCACCCAGTGTGTTTCCAGCTGCCAGGTCCAGGGCTCGATCCGTGATCAACTGCCTGGGAGTCCAGCAACATAACTGTTACACCATATGCTGGTCCTGAGATGAGACTATATTAAAGAAAATGTTAAACAAGAAGCCATGGCCGGTAATCCCAACCTTCTAACTTGACTATTTTCAGTTTTGCATGTTACTGTCTCATCTCTGCCAGAATATGCTACCTTTCATTTCATATACATACACTTTGTAGGTTTCTAAATAGTTTTCCTGTTAAATCCGACATATATTTATTATAAGAGGGTAGCAAGCTGGCTATGTAATATTCAGCCAAGTTGATTAAGTATCTTTTTTGTTTTTTTGAGAGGTTTTTGCCATAGGGCGCGTGGGCTCGCCAGACAGAGACAGAGAGACATAAAGCGAGAAATCACCCCCCAGGGGGGATGACCATGCCGCAATCCCTTCTCCTCCATTCTCCTCTCGGGATCTTGGGCACGCATGCACACGCGCTCAGCGTGAGTTTCAAGCCACCGGGTCCGGGACATGAACCATGGTCGACTACATGGGAGTCCAGTGACATAGCCATTACGCTAACTGCTGGTCCCATTAAGTATCATTTTAATAAAGCATTTTCTTTCTTTCTTTCTTATTTATTTATTTGAGAGATTTTTGCTATAGGTCATGCAGGCTTGCCAGAGAGAGACAGAAAGCGAGAAGCCACCCCGCCTCCCCATGGGGGATGGCCATACCACAATCCCTTCTCCTCCGTTCTCCTCTCAGGATTTAGGGCATGCATTCACACGTACCTGATGTGAGTTTCAAGCCTTCAGGTCCAGGACTTGAATGGTAATCGACCACATGGGAGTCCAGAACCTTAACCACCTGTTAGCCCTAGTAAAGCATTTTCTTTCCTTTTTTTCTTAATTATTTTATTTAACTTTATTTATTTATTTTAATTTGACCAGAGAAGGACAGAGCAAGAGAGAGAAAGAGAGAAAGGATAAGTTAGAAAGCAAACCGCCAGGTCTGGAACTCAAACCGCGGTCGGCCATGTGGGAGTCCAGCACCCTTAACCACCACACCACCTGCTGGCCCCTAAAGCATTTTCTTAAGTGTCCAGGATAGTGTTCGAGGGTGTTTTCTGCTATTGCTTGGATTCATGTACATAGAGCGTTGTCCATCTGTGGGTTTACTCCCTCAGGGGAGTTCACAGATGGGAGCACTGTTGTCAGAGGCACTCCCATCACTGCCTCCTGCTGTTCTGATGCCGTATTCACCTCCACAAGGATATGTCCATTTACTACATGCCACCAGTTAGTTAGCAACCTAGTCTGTAACTATGTAATCTAGGGCCAGCCCTGCAGCCTCGTGGTTAAGGGAGCCAGATTCCACATGGCCAAATGCAGTTCAAATCCTGGCCCTGGAGGCTTGACAAACACACTGTACACTTATGTGTGCATGCCAAAAATCCTGATAGGGTGGAGAAATGGAGGAGAAGGGATTGAGGCATGACTGTACCCCATTGAGGCAAGACCATGGCCCATTGGGGAGTGTTTTCTCGCTTTCTTTCTTTCTGTCTGTCTCTAGTCAGTCATAAGTACAAGTGGCCCAGGACTTGTGACTGGGGCAGTCTCATGAGACTGAGCCCCTAACTCATTCAGTCTGCACTAACTTTGGGAGTCGGAATCGAAGTCAGGTTCTGGGCACCCATGTGGTGTCAGAGAGTTGCAGAAGTAGGGTGGGAAAAGACCATGCACCTGGTGCCTGGAGGGGAAAAAAAAATCTGGTGTCAGAACAGTTGAGAAAAGAAGCGGACCACATGGTGGGACCAGCAGATGGCATAATGGTTATATAGCTGGACTCACACGTAGTTGACTGTGGTTTGAGTCCTGGACCCAACAGCTTAAAACTCACACTGGTGCATGTGGTGTGTGTCCAACATCCTGAGAGGAGAATGAAGGAGAAGGGATTGTGGCATGGCCATCTCCCCTGGGGGGTGATTACTCGCTGTCTGTCTCTGGCTCTCTGGCAAGCGGATGTGCCCTATAGCAAAAATCTCTCTCTCTAAAGAAAGAAAGAAACAGACTACACGACAACCAAATTCTGTCTTCTTCCCTTTCTCCTTTTCCCTAGGAAATGTTCTGCGAAGGCCAAGTGTGCAAACAGACGTTCCAGAGAGCCTGAGCCGTACCCAACGGCAGAATCCAGTAGACTGCAGCTTAATGCCAAATTACGTTCCAGAATGAACAGAAGTTACCCTGTCCTGGCTTGATGATGGGACCTTGTGGTTGGAGAGGTGTCACACAGTCCGTATCAGCAGTCATCCAGATGGTGGGAAAACTTCTCAGTTTCAATAAACCTTCCAAATGACTTGCAAATGTTTTCTCTAAATTTAGCATAGCCCCTTATTTTAAGAAATACTTGAAAGCCTTCTAGAGGCATGGAGACATACTGGTGCACAAGATGTATTTCCTGTCTTCAAACCTAGTGAGGAAGATGAACAAACCCAGCCCCTGAACAGTGTTGGTAAGTATAGGCAGCTATGAAAATTCAGAAGTGGCAAACTTGACTTTTGGGGCTGGTCAAGTGGTGGCATTTACAGGGGCTGGGGTAGTGGAGGTGATCTTAAAGATCTGAAGTGTAAGTAAGCAGGTGCAGTCAGGGAGCGTTTTATTTTTGCTATAGGGCATGTGTGCTCACAGGAGAGAGACAGAGAGAGAGGGAAAGTGAGAAAGCACTCCCCAAGGGGAATGACCACACCACAATCCCTTCTCCTTTTTTTTTCTTTTTATTAGTTTTGCTATAGAGTTTGTGTGCACTCATCTGAGAGACACAAGAGAGAGATAGAGAGAGAGTGAGAAATCACCTCCCAGAGTGGACAGCCATTCTGCAATTCCTTCTCCTCCACTCTCCTCTTGGGGTTTTTGGCATGCACGCACATGCACCCAGTGTGTTTTTCATGGCTCCAGGTCCAGGACTCAAGCTGCAGTCAGCCTTATGGGATCCAGTCACCTTAACTACCATGCCACCTGGCTGGCCTGGGAGTATTTTAGATAAAAGGCCAGGGGTAAGTTGGAGGAGTGTTTGAAGAATTGAAAGACTACTTTACTTGAATCATAGGGTGTATATCGGTGTGGTGGGCTGGGAAGAGATGACAGAGGACCTTGAATACCAAATTAAAGAGATGAGAGTTTGTCCCAAAAGCAATAGGAGCATGGTGATGGGGATTAAGCCAGGGATCTGCATGATCAGATTTACGTAGAAAGGAACTCAGACTGCAGAGGAAAGGAAGGATTGTCAGTGGGGGACATAATTTGGAGGGTAGTTTAGAAAGTCCTGGCAGGCATCTAAGTGTGAGGTGATGGTGGTCTGAAACACCTGGACCCAAACTCCCAAATACGGGGAAAGAACAATGGAGCTGGAGAACAATGATCAGTTATTTGGGAAGCAGAATCCATAGTCCAAGGTGGCTGATGAGATGTAGGTATGGTGCAAGGGAGCAGAACCAAGGAAGATGTCCTGTTTTTGGTTCAGGCAGCTGTAGGAAGGACGAAGCCCATCAGGCGAGGGCAGCACAGTGGAAGAGGAGAGTGGTTAGAGCTTCATGGACTTGGACGTGCCTCTGCCCTGAGAAGGAAGCTGTGCGGAAACACTTGGATGAATGTGTTTGGAGACACTACAAGTTGTCAAGCATACAAACCATGCATATGGACGAGACTGTCCAGAATATTGTGGGGTTTTTTAAATAATTTTAAATTATTTAATTTAACTTTTACTTATCACTATCATTTTCCATTTGACCAGAAAGAGACAGAGAGAGAGAAGAGGGAAAATGAGAAAGCAAGCCACCAGATTCAGGACTCAACCACAGTCAGCCATGCGGGATCCAGCACCTTTAACCACCATGTCACCTGCCAATCCCCAGAATATTGTGTTTTCAAGCAAGAAGAGGGGCCGGACAGTGGCACACTGAGAGAATGTGGTGCTCTGTAAGTCTGACCCATGTAGGAAAGTTCTGGGTTCGTGTCTGGAGACCTTCCTGAGTATGCTGGGCACCCACATGCCCATGATCTGGGGCTCTCTGAGGCTGGGGTGGATCACAGCATAAAAATCCTGTTAGGAGATTAGCAGTGGCATAGTGGTTAAGGCGCTGGACTCCCATGTAGTCGACCACAGTTTGAGTCCTAGACCAGGCAGCTTGGAACTCACACTGGGCACGTGTGCATGTGTGCCCAAAATCTCAAGAGGAGAGTCGAGGAAAAAAGGATTGCGGCATGGCCATCCCCCCTGGGGGGGGGGGGATTTCTCACTTTCTTTCTCTCTGTCTCTAGCAAAGCACATACACCCTATAGCAAAAATCTCTATCGAAAAAAAAAAAAAATCCTGTTTGAGGTGCTGTCTTTCTATCTCTCTGGCTCCCTCTCTTTTCAAAGAAATAAATGAATAAACCTAAAAATGTTTTGAAGTAAGAAACCTAAGGTACAAAAAGAAAAGGAAAAGATGCAAGGTGACCAGAAACACTTGAGAAACAGGGCCACTAGGGGAACCAGAGGAGGACACATTTCAGGACCAAAGGTGTTCAGCACGCACCAAGACGCCCAAGGCTTGGAGAGGGCCTGGCTGGAGAAGGATCCTGCCTCCTTGGTGAGGTCAATGCCACACTTGGTGCTGACGCAGTATGTGGGGGTTGTGGGACTTACTGGAGGTGACCAGAATGGACAAGGAGTATCTAGTGGAGAAATGGAAAGAACAGGGAGGCAGATTCAGGAGATCTTGGCAGGGAGAGACCTGGCAAGACTGGTGGGATTTGTGGACCGGAGAGTCTACACTGAAGAGGGAAAGGGAGGGATGGCTCCTGCTGACTTAAGTACTAACTGTGTGCAAGGCACTAAGCTGGCTGCAAAGGAAGGATCTATGCCTTTATTTTTTTTTTTTCAGGTTGTTTCTTTTTATTTAATATATTCTAGTCAAATAGTAACAGCAGTAAATAAACACTTTGAAAAACAGGCAGGTATCCCCCTATATCTGGAAGGAAATTAAGTCAAGGTATTCTACATGGCAGAAGGGAGACAACCGCTGATGTCCACGGTTAGACGATTTAAGGGCAACTTAAAAACTTCGACAGCCATTTCCAAAAAGGTCAGTGGCAACACGTTGGGACACAGCTACTTGAAAGGCTAACATGTCTATACCTACACTGCTTTTTATTAACAGGGATTGAGTTGTACCTGTATAGCATGGCGTTCTTGTCTTTAGCCTTAAAGGAAAAGAGAAAATCTTTTCCATTTGCACCAGTTTGAAAGAGTTCTGAAATAAGGCTCCCTTAAAATAGATTGCTACAGTACTCATTCACACGAAGAAAGTTCATATGGTCAACTTTTTTTTTTTTTTTTTGGTTGATTTGGTTAACTGCATAAAATGAGGACTAAATACTCACATGCATGATCTGTTTAACAAACTCCTAGGTACATCAGAGTACAAAATATAAAATGTCCTAAAACAGACTTAGACCACCAGGCACATAAACTTGAAATCAAGCCTGTGGCAGCCTGATCCCTCCCCTTGCTTCAGTACTCCCATGTGGAGTTCTGTCCCCACTCCTGGAGCATGGACCTTTGACCTCAGAGAAGGGAGCCTCAGAAAGGCAAGGCATTCTGATCAAACGCTCTTTCGACCTTTACTTGGAACATCCTGCCTTTACTGTAAAAGGATGGCCACAGGTCTTGCTCAGCCTTAGAAACGGAAGCATCACTCAGGTGAAAATATCTGGGGAACTTTTCAATACCTCGCTACCTCTTCAGATTGGCTTCCGCTGTTTTTAGAAAGCATTCCGCATAGCTAGCCAGAGCAGTCACTCAAGTTTTGGTTCTCTTTAACATAGCTGCATTCGGAGATACTCTATATGAGGCGTGTTTAGAAAAACTTATACCTGGAATTTATATTCTTCCAAGTAATCTTTCTTTCTTTTTTTTTTTTTTGAGATCTGATCTTATTTCTTTCTTTCTCATAAAAATCTTATTTTTGACTGGATTCAGACTTAGAAGTAGAAGCTCTCAGGGAGGACAGCCTACGTCTCTTCGCAATCTATTCTTAGCATTTTTCTTTAGCCTCCTTCATTCTCTTGGCCAAAAGTTTAGCATACTCTGCTGCCTCTTCCTTATTTTTCTTAGTACATTGTTTCTTGAGAGCAATACACCGGTGTTTGTGTTGCAGGACACAGGGAGTCACAAGACGCTGAATCTTGGGTGCTTTGGTCCTAGGTTTCTTTTTTTTTTTTTTTTTTTTTTAGAGGGGTTTTTTTTTTTTTTTTTTTTCG